TGGATTTACTTGAAGCTCAGTACATAGATGATGAACGAATGGACTAAGTTCCTCTGGGGCCATATTCCAGGCATCACCTTTAAAGGTGTCTAGATCTGGCTGAGGGAGCACAGCTTAGGCAGTGGCTGGGGTCCAGGCTCCGCACACCTGCACACACTCTATGTCTCAGGGCGGTGGGTCCTAACTCTGCTCTAAGGCTATGAGCTACTTGGTACCCAGTTCTTCCCTGGAACCCCCCGCTACCTCCTCCTCGGTGGGCAAGAAGCAGAAGGCACAGAGGAGATTGGGTGGGAGAGCCTCGGGGTCTGGTTAGGAATGGGGCCATGGCCCCGTACCCTAGTGTCTGATGTAGGAATTAGAAGGGTAGCCCCAGAGAGGACAAGGACCTGGAATGTGCTGTCCAGAGCTGAGCAACACCTCCCAACAGAGCAAGGAGGCAGGTATCCAGGCCTGGTGACCACACATAGCAGGTGGTACAGAGTAGGGCGCAGTGACTTTCTCCAGCTCGACCATCCACGGGAGTCACTGGGAGAAAGAGGCAGCTTTTACCCCCAGACATTGTGAGTCACCACACACTCAGACTCAGGACACACCCCAGAGTCCACTTGTGAGGACTGAGTGTGAGCCACCTGTCTCATGACCATCCACACACTCAAGGCCCCTCCTTGTCCCTCTCAAAGCTCCCCCTCTCCCTCCTGGCTGGCTTCAGAACCAGGCCAGAGCCGGAGAGAAGGCAGACGGGGTTGGGGAGGAGACACAGCAGCGAGGCTCGCCGTGGGAGCAGCTTTCCCGGAGGACAGCTTGCAATTTCCAAGTCTACCCTGACTTACCACCTGCGTCCTCCCCGGCCCCGAGCACAGCGATGGCCCTACACAGCTGGGGAATGAATAAGCCAGAGAATGGTATTCTCTCAGGTAAAGGTCATCCTCGTTGCCGGAGGCAGTCACCCGTCAGAGCGGATACCAGCTCTCTTCGGTTCTACCCGTAGGGCACCTTCTGGAACAAGCCACTCAGGGCTGGGAGAGCAGGCTGCCCCAGAACAGTGCACAATGAACACCGCGGAGTTCATTTCAGCCAAACGGAACCAAAAACAGGTTCTGAGCCACCACAGACTTTATTTGGGGAGAACAATATAGGTCATAAAAATCAATTCATTCCTTTATAGTGGTAGAAATTTAAGTCTAGAGAGGTTAAACGAGTTGCCCCAAGTCACACAGGAGAAAATGGTGGAGTAGGACTTCAAGGAAGCCTCCTTTCAGACCACTGGGGCCATCCACCGTGAGGACAGGGCCAGAGGAGAAGGGACTCACACTTACTAAGGTTGGTTGCCTTCCCCTTGGTCTAAGCACCACCCCAGGAATGTCTCAGTGAGGTGTGGGGGGCCAGAGGTCTGGGTGCACACGCCTCCCCCCAGAGGCACCATGAGGCCTGCCCGGGTGCAGGGAGGCATGTGCCCGGTGAGCCGCTCTTCCCGCAGGCTGGGGAGGGGGCTCCATACCCAGCTCAGGCCCCTTCTTCCTCTGCCACCACACCATAAACTGCTCATGTCTGCATGTCATTGCTTTCCTGTCACTGGGCCCCCTCGAGGGCACAGGCTGGCCTGCCCTCAGTCCTCCGTGGCCGTTTCCCCATGCGGGGGCAGCCAGGGGGAGTGACTCGGCCCCCGTGCACCAGGGACACAGCACCGCGGGCAGGGGCTTCCCACTCACGCCACCGTGGACACTGGGCCTGGGATGCTTGCTGGCATCTGGCTCCTGCCCACTAGATACCAGTAGCTCCCACAGCCCAGCGCCTAACGATGGAAAACGCATCACTCGCAGACACTGAGTGTGTGCAGGGCCCTATCCCCCTGTTAGAATTCGAGACAGCACTTACCCGAAGGGGGGTGGGGGGGTCTAGTGACTAGGATAAGCCAGCGAGACTTTGGGGGATACATGTTTTCTTTCTGGCCTTTCGTTCATTGTGCTGGTGCTTTCAGTTTTTTCGAAGATTCTTCAGACTGTGCCCTAACACGCAAATGTTGGTATCTCATATTTCAGTGAAAAGTTTTCAAAATGCACCAGCTTCCTCATTGCTGAGAAGCCCCAGTTCAATGTCTATCCGCGCACAGTGCCCTACCAGGTGTTACCAGAGGAGAACCGCACAGGCCTCTCAGATCGTGTTTTGAAGCGGGCATTTCGGGGCTGATTTACCGCTGGCACGGATTCATCTCATGTTCTACTTAGAACAGAAATGAGTATAATTTATAACCACTTGTTCCTCCCCAAGGCTATGGGTGAAGGAGAATATTGATTTTTGGAGTTGCTCACACTGACCAGAGGTTTGCTGGCTCCAGCCTCGCCAAGGACGCCCCGCTGACTCAGACAGCCATGAGAACATTCGGTTCTGGAGACTGGGGGGCCAGGAAGTAGAGCTCCCTCTCTGAGCCGAGCACTCCCCTGCCCTGCGGCTGCAAGCGTGGCCCCAGCCCAGCAGCCGGGCAGCGCAGCCTTGCCTGGGAATTCATTAGAGATACAAACCCTTGAGCCCCATGCCTGCCCAGGCATCGGAAACTCTGGGAGTGGAGCCCAGCGCCCGTGTTTTAACAAACCCTCCAGTGATTGGGATGCACGATAAAGTGAGAACCACTGTAATTCATTGAGCCGTAAAGTAAGAGAATCAGCAGCTGAAGGCCATAAGGTCCCCTTCATCACGGATGAAGCCCGTGCTGCAGAGCGTGGGCTTGTACCGGGGGCGACTGGGCCTCCCGGGACCGAGCCACACGCGGACAGACTTAGCCCTGGCGTGGGGGAGCCCGGCCTGCCTCTGAAACCAGGGCACGGGGGCGGGGTGGGGGGGGCGCCGGTTGTGTGGGCTTCCTGCAGAGAGCCAGCTCCCTACGGGGGGAGGGGAGAGAAGCACGGGGTACCCCCCTCCTCTCCAAACTCACTGGTCAAGCAACTCAGCCCACCTGCCTGGAGAGGGATCAGGTGGGCCGAGATGCCAAGAGTTTCGTGCTGAGTGCTGCATGATGCCCAAGGAGGGAGACGCCCCCCACCAACACATTCCTTAACACACTGTGTTGCGGATGATCAGTGACTGGAGGGACCAGCTCTTCTCCCCTTTGGTTGCTACGCCCCTGTCAGCTTTGCCTGAGCAGGACCGGAGTCCAACACTTCCCAAGGGCCAAGGGGAGCCCTTCACAGTGGGTGTGGGCTGTTCGAGAAGAAGGCAGCTTCTCCTTCCCACCTGTCTGTCCCAAGGACAGGTGTGAACTGCTGCTCTCTGCTAAACAGAGCCCAGGAGGAAAGCCAGCCAATGGGATGACAAAGTGAGAGCCGGGTCCCTTGTGTCCTCACAAGTGGCTTGAGAGGGGGTGCTTGGACTTGCGGTTCCCTGAAGGTGGTTGTTAGCATCTGAAAGTAAGTCAGCTTCCTAACTCTCTCCTGCCTCTGGACGGCCCATTTTTACCGTGCCCATGACCTTCCCCTGTAGCATGGAAGGTATGCTACTCCCTTCCCTTGGCCCAAGGAGGAGAGACTCAGAGAACAGAAGGGATCTCAGAAATTATTCAGGGCAAACATGGCACTTGCCAGCAGACGAATCGGGCGCCGAAGGCTGGAGAGACACAGTCCGGCCCTGAGCCATCAGAGGCCGAGCCGGCCGTGCCCAGGTGTGAGACCACAGGCGGGAGCTCCCCCACCCCCCACAGCCCCAACAAGCTTGGCCACACCGCATGCTCCCTAACGGGGCTCACTGTTATCACGCTCTCACCAGAGCAACTGATAATTTGTCACGTATCTTTTTAAATAATCTGCCCCTGCCCCCGCCCCGTATCACGGATCCTGGCTAGACTGTGTGTGTGTGTAGAAAGGTCTGGGCGGTGTTACCCCCACGGGAATTCGCGGTGGAAGGCGGCAGCCCACGCTGAGCCTTCTCTACCCGGGGCCCCCCCGAGCCGCAGGTTCTGAGGGATCTGTTAAAAGGTGAAGAACAGCCTGGGCACCCCCGTTCCGATGGTTATCTGATCAGCGGTTGGAAGGGCTCGACCACGTGATTCCCTCAGGCACTCAGTCCACGTTGTTTCAATACAGAAAAAGTAGGTTTTCGAACGCTGGCATAGGACCAGCCATTTCCAGCCCCCACCTGCCTCCCAGGTGCTGACAGGTTTTACGTTTTACTTGGACTTCATTTATCATTGAGGAGGAGCCTGAGAAACAGCAATTTGATGAGAAACCATAATGTATGTGATTCTCTTTTAAGTTCTAAAAATGCCTGATAACCAAAGATTTCAAATAAATTGAGACCAGTTTGGGGAAAAATTCTCCTTGATAGGACAAACAGCATTTTACCTGCCAAATAAAGAGGTTATTTGCTTATGTGTCCCCTTTAGGAGGACACTTTCTTTTTTTTAAAAAGATTTTATATATTTATTTATTTGACAGAGAAACAGCTAGAGAGGGAACACAAGCAGGGGGAGTGGGAGAGGGAGCCCGATGCAGGGCTCGACCCCAGGACCCTGGGATCATGACCCAAGCCAAAGGCAGACGCTTAATGACTGAGCCACCCAGGCGCCCCAGGACACTGTTTCTAAAACAACTTGACACAGTACCCTTGAAAAACATGGGGGACAGATGCAAAATTCAATATCATGTGGTGTATTTTGTGTTTTTTTCTGAAAATGTTTGAGGTAACTTTGCACCCACAGGTGTCTACCATATAATTATAGCCCAAGACATTCTTGGAGGGACTGTTAACATAGCTCAGAAGGCAAACTGTCACCCGATCCTCTGAGCTTCAGTCCTTGGACATTCGAGCCACCCCAGAGCACCAGGAATGGTGCCCCTTAGTGATTTAATAATGCTGCTTCACATCCCAGCTCTGCCACCACACTCCTCAAGCCTCCTTTTCCAAACACCGGCCAACTCTGTACTAACACTTGGTGAAATCAGAGAGGATGAGAACCTGACCCGGGGCCTTCTGTGAGGATGCAGAGTCAAGTGGAAAGGAATGCCCCAGGCTGATGTTAGAATGTATTTATTGCTACATGTATATACAATTATACAAACAGCCCAGACAGGAAAGGGAATGTTGTGTGAAGCTCTCCGGATTCCACAGATGTGCACAAGTAAACAGAGCGGTACACCACAAAGTTTGCTCTCAGTTCAAAGCCAAAAATAAGTCACATACGTTTTTTGAAAAAGTGGAAAATTCTTGGAAATTCTCTCCCTGTATCCCTCCTTACAAGCTAGTCATGCAGAAAACGTGGGTTCTCAGAAGCTAATGCCTTCAGGCATCTCTTTAGGGGGTGGTGCCTTGAAGACAGGGTACAAGGGCTGCTGGCTTGGGCCGGCAGGGAGCAGGGCCGAAAGCCTCAAGTCCTGGCCCACTTTTCTAAGGTCTGTCCCTAGGAAAGGCAGTCAAGAGGGGTTTGGAGAGAGACAGAATAGCAAGAAAGGGAAAACCAACAGTAAACTGAGACTCAGTGAAGAGAACCACCAGCAAGGGCCCTGGTGGAAGGAATGCTTGTCCATCTGGCTCCCGCTGGGATTCTGGATTTGGAACATCAGGCAGGTCTCGGTACGTCCTTCTCCGACAGCTTGCCATGTGTCAGGCACCAGGGACCTGCGTGAAGACAGCCAGCCAACAGGAAGGTCAGGCAAGAAAGAAGACTACGCTTAAACAGGATCATACTAGGGTTGAAAAGGGCACTGCCCCAGATACCCCCCCACGTGTCGTGGGTTACACTTAGCCATGGTGGCGTGTGCTGCTGAATTGTGCAGCGGGGACAGAGAGCTCAGGATATGCAGGGAAATACAGGCCGCACCAAAACACAGGGGCTTCCACGGGGCCTACACTCGGACCACGGCCCAGCTACCACCCTGATCTCAGAGGGGACCTAACAGGGGATCTTGTAATGCTCAGACCCAGAATTGTGAGGTGGATCCAAGACCCTGGTAGAAACACACCCCCTTTCATGTCACGGTTCCACAAACCGCTGTGACGGGAATCACAAGAGAGCCAGCCGAGCAGCCTGTGGGGCAGGCGCGCCCGAGAGTGAGCAACCCTTATCTGCAGCAGCTCTGCCTTCCCCACCCCAGGCCACTTCCCACTCAGGGCCCAGCGGGAGGGTCTTCAGATCGGGTCTAACAGCCTCCGAGGCTCAAATTGCCTAGCACCTCAGGGAAAGGACAAGGCCTGAAGGATGAGAGCAAGAAGTCTGGGAGTCTGAACACACCAGACGACCAGAGGCCTTTGGGGATGATGGGCAATGTGGATCCCTGCAACCCGAGGCTGTAGGGCCTCTATCCCTGAAGAAACCAGTCAGCTCTCACTTGCCCATGGCTAGAGATGTGCTTCTGATGCCTCATCACCATAATCCCATAGGCTGCTCGGCTGGAGGGACCCTAAGGACGGTGGGAGAAGGGCCGGAGACCACTCGGAAGTCCCTGTCCTTCCTCTAGGGTCAACAGCATCGTAATCAGCCAGAGAGGGGCCCAGCAAGTTCTTTCAAGGCTGCCAACTTTGTGACATTTCAAGCTGAAGGATGTGGCGATTGCCAACTCCTTTGATCCTTTAATAAATTCATCTCTGGATAATTCAAAAATCTCTGTCATTTGATCTTGACTTTTCTGGTGAGTCATGCAGAAACTTTCTTTTCCTACTTCTGATGACAAGAGCACAGAGTTAAGCTCACTCAAAGGATTCACTCTAAAAAAGCAAAAACATTAACAGGTGACAACCCATGAGGAAAACATTGCAAAACATCAAGTAAATTTTAAGTTGGGTTTCTTTTTCTTTGTTTGTTTGTTTTTTTACCCATCAGCAAACAAAATGGAAAGAGTTACATAAATTCCTGCAATGGAAGAAATGGTTTAAAGGCAAGTAGCTGGGAAGACTGCTGTTTGTGGCTATGTACGGAATGTTAAGACAAACTGGCTCTCCCATTTTATAGCGTCTACACCACTTTCAAAACGATGACGGATGTGCCTCACGCCCTTCACGTGGCCTTTGACACAGTGGCAATGTTTCGGTGATGTCACAGAATGTCAGAGATGCTTGCAGGACCTTAAACTTGTATCAAAGCAATCCAAAACTCAAGGCCAAAGAAGCAAATCATTTCTAAACATTCCCACCCGGAGTGGAACAGCCATGATAATTTTTTATGTCACGTTTAAAAAAAAAAAAAAATCTAAAAGATAATATTGTTATTACAGACATTTATTCCACATCTTAAAGTATTACCTCAAATATAGTCTCATACAGCTAGAGGTAGGTTTATAGAACTTGGGGAGGATTAATCGGCAATTTGGGGGAACTCAAATGTATCATTCAAGATCTACAAGGTAAACGTCATTTCTGTGGTTTTACTTAGAAATGTGATGGGTCAGAACCATCTCTGCCAAAGAAATTAAAGAATTTCAAAACAATCTGCTTCAAGGTAATCATGTTGATCCATGATTTTAAAGTATTTCCAAATTGAGATCAATGCAGAACACTAATATATATATATATGAAGGGATATATATAATATATATATATATTCATTTTTACGTTTATCTGAATTTTTTTAGATAAGAAAAAGCCTCCCAGCAGTACACAGTGTCCTATGTGGGAACTTGTGCTGTGATACTCATTCCACATCACAAAAGACAACAGTCTAGAGTAGCATGTCCCATCAGTTCACATAGTTTACAGATAAAATCTCATTTTATCGACGTCAAAATTATCACATTGGAGGAAGATGTTCTTGATTGGCAGAAAGCCCAAGAGAGTTAAACAATTGAGAAAGAATCTGAGGGGGTGGAACTCGATGCCGGAATGGTGGGGGCTGTTCTGGGGGAGCTCCTTTGGGAATTCACGCCACTAGATTAAAGGCTCTGGGCTGTGGATGCACAAATTTGGGTTTTATGGGGTCCTGCCAGCATCCTGGCAGGTGTCATGGAAAGGTAGGCTGGCCCCGGCCGCCAGTTGTACTTACCTAGCGAGGGAGGGAGCCTTCTTCCTAACCGTTACATTTGCTTTATACTGCTTTGGCAAGAACGCATCTGGAACAATGCATACAGTTTGGGTCCCCACCTTTCAAAAGAGACATCAAGGGGTTAGGAAGCACTCAGCAAAAGAACACAGAAGGAAGTCAAATAGTACAGAATGACAGGAGTACCCTTGTCATCCTGGATCCGGGAGGACCTGCCGGGCAGCCAAAGGGCCAAAGTGATCTTCTTCCTAAGTTTTAACTTTTTTTTCCAGTCCAGTCTTGAATCTCCGCTATTACAATGTGGAAATAAGAATAACTTCACATGTCCCTTTTAAATGGATCCTAGAATTCTAATAGTTGTTACAATTACACACAAACAAACTGGTTTCACGAGAATGATGGATCTCAAAGTCATACACACCCAAGTTTTGTAAGTATTAGAATAACGCTGATCAGATTTTCTATTTTTTTAAGTTTCCCTCGTGATTAATCTAGGTACTCTTAAAATGTCCTTTGGGCACCAACCACTTACAGGCCCAAAATTCGTGGTGGTGCCTCCTTTGAAATCAATAGTTGATGTCTTTTTTGTTGTTTTTTAAGATTTATTTATTTGAGAGAGAGAGAGAGAGAGCAGGGGGGAGCGGGAGAGGGAGAGAAAGTCCCAAGCAGACTCCACGCTAAGCCAGAGCCCTGTGTAGGGCTCAATCTCTGACACCCTGAGATCATGACCTGACCCGAAACCAAGAATCAGTCACTTAACTGAATGAGCCACCCACAGGACCCGTTGCTCTCTTTGATTAAGCAAATTCTCAACAGGCTACACCTGCCTGCCAAAAGACTGGGATGGGTTAAGACCAAGAACAGTAAAAACCACCTCCCCCACAGCCACGTGGCCCTGTGGTGATTAAAGAAACCAGTGTCAGCCATACCGTCCCCGGTCTGTCTTCATCAGCTGATTTACCTGCTATTCTCAGGGAGAGCCCTCAGAGACACCAAAAACGAGGTCGCGGTGAACTCTACAAAGAAACCACTAAACCAGCCAAGCTTATCCATGCGTGAGTTCTCTGACTTGGGCAGAATGCTGCGTATGGTACTTTCTCTGCTGTGGTTCAAGCAGTTGGAAATGCAGGTAGTGGCGATCTCTGTCTTACTGATCAGTTATGTGCCCGAAGGGCATCTGTGGGGGGCTGTTTCCCATGGAGATCAATAGTAGTGCAGTGTCCAGGCAGTTTAACCCATGATGAAAAACTGAGGCTTTGCACTAAAATACAGTAGAAACCCCAAATTTGTCAAAGCTAGCAATAAAGGAACACATTAACAGTTTTTTAAAACTTTTCAATTTTTCTGTAATACTTGAACTTGATGCTAAACTGGGCAGAATTAATGAGATGATTGAGTAGTACTTGAAATTTGAGAACATTTTTTTAAAGGGAACTTTAAATATTTTCAAGGACTTTGAGGATTAGCGGAGCTGAAACTTTATTGTATCAGATTTCATTAAAAAATATGTGCTGTATTTTTTTTCCTTAGTCACCAGCATTACTTTTACCATGATTAACCATAACTGAGGTAGATTTACACTCATAAAAGAAGCAAGAAAACTAAGGAAGGAAAAAAGAATGATTTGCATGAGTATATCGAGGAAGTATGGAAGAGCAAGTGAAAAGGAGATGGGAAATATAAGGGACAAGGGAGAAAACAGAATTAAATGACGGGTGTCACTGTTAACAGAAGAAACTAAGAAACTAGATCCATATAGTTCCCTAAAAGAAACAGGAAGATATCAAGTCAGAAATTTCAAAGTTTGCCACCAGGTGGCACCATGAGATTAAAATAACTTGGTAGAAGACCCCCAGCCCTTGAAGGGGAATGAGGGGGTCGATACCTATGGAGGGACAGGATTATTAGAAAAAGAAACTCTAGCATAACAGGCATATGTATATAAAAGGAAGTTTCATTAACCTGATAAAGGGCATGAACCAAAAACCTAGAGCAAACATGTCCCGAGAAATGTTAGAAGCAATCCTCTTAAATCAGAAACGAGTTGCCACTTATGTCCAACATTGTACTGAACATTTCAGTCAAGTTAGCTCAGTAAAGTAAGACAAAGAAATAAATGTTACAGGGATTGAGAAGACAGATTGAGAACTGACATTATTGGCAGGTGACTATTTATGTAGAAAGCCCAAAAGACTTCACAAATTATTAGAAACAACAAGAACTAAGCAAGGTTCCTGAATATAGGGTCAGCAAACAAAAATCAATTTCATTTCTATATACCAGCCACAAATAGTTTTAAAATGTAAACTCTTAGACGATGGTAAAAATGAAGATACTTAATAATAAATCCAACAAAAGATATGTAGGATCTTAGGGCAAAAATGTACACTTTGCTGAACGGCATAAAGGAAGACATCAATAAATGGAGAATTAGAACATGTTCCTGACTAAGGATATTTAATATTGTACAGATGTAAATTCTTCCCAAATTAATCTAATTAATATTATTAATACACACTTCCAAACAAAAGGTGTTTTTCCTCATATAATTTATTTTTTTGTTGTTGTTAAGAGTTATTTATTTTAGGGCGCCTGGGTGGCTCAGTCGGTTAAGCGTCTGCCTTCGGCTCAGGTCATGATCCCAGGGTCCTGGGATCGAGCCCCGCATCGGGCTCCCTGCTTGGCCAGAAGCCTGCTTCTCCCTCTCCCATTCCCCCTGCTTGTGATCCCTCTCATGCTGTTTCTTTGTCAATTAAATAAATTTAAAAATCTTAAAAAAAGAAAAGATTTATTTTAGAGAAAGAGAGAGAGCAGTGGAGAGTGGCAGAAGGAGAGGGACAGAGAGAGTCTTAAGCAGACTCTGTGCTCAGCACAGAGCCCCACGTGGGGCTCCATCTCACATCCCTGAGATCAGGACCTGAGCAGAAACCAAGAGTTGGACGCTTAACCAACTGCATCACCTAGGCACCCCCCAATTTAAATGATTTCTAAAATTTATGTAGTACAAGGGGTGTCTGGCTGGCTCGGTAGAGCATGCGATTCTTGACCTCAGGGTTGTGAGTTCGAGCCCCACATGGCATATAGAGACTACTTAAAATACAATAAAATTTATGGAGTAGAACGAAGGCCCAAAAGGAGTCAGGAGTTTATTATTAAAACAAGGTGGGGGAAAAAAGAAAGCTCTACCAGATATGAAGACTTGTTATAAAGCTAAGGCTATAATTAAGACAGAATGGTATGACCACTGGAACAGAACAGAGACTGCATGTGTATATCCTTGATGGAAGAGGGGTGGACTGTCAAATCAAGTATTAGGACAACTGGTCATCTAGCTAGAAAAAAAATGAATCCATACTTCATACCATACCCAAAGTTACTTCTAGCGGGACTAAAGACCGAAGTGTAAAAATAACAAAACATTTAGAAGAAAATTTAAAAATTCAAAACTTTTAGAAAAACTGCAGAATACCTTCATGACCTCAAGGAAAGGAACAATTTCTTAAACAAGATACACACCAAAAGACTGCCAGAAAATCATAAGAAAAAAGATTTATAAATTAAGCTACAATAAAATTTAAAATTTTATCCATCAAAAAATCATAAAAATGTGAAAAGATGAGGTACAACTTGGAAGGAGATAACTGTAAAACATTTTAAGTGTCAAAAGATTAATAACCTCTGTGAAGCAATTAGACCAAGATAAAGAAGGTAATAGGAAACAAGCCAAAAAAAAAAAAAAAAAAGTCACTTCAAGGAAGAGGAGACATGAAAGGCCCATAAATATGAGAAAAAACTCTCAATTATATTAGTAATCAAGAACATGCAAATTAAAAACACAGTATGAAACCATTTTAAACCTATCAAACTAGAAGTTTAAAAATTCTAGTACTATCACACATGTAGTAAAGATGTGAATGTACCTTTACTTTAGAAAATAACTTGATGGCTACACAGTCAAGTTGAAAATGGGTGTACCCTGTAAGTGAATAATTCCCCCGCCTAGGTCTCAGCCACAGAGATACTATTGCTCACATTCACTAGATACATGTACAAAACTGTCTATATTGTTTGTAAAATAAAAAATACTAGAAACAAATGTCCATCAGGGGAATGCATAAATTGTAGTACATTCATAAAGTAAATAGACTCGCAGCAGTGAGACTGAACCACTGCTATAGTCATCAAAATGGATGTATGTCCGTGTGATAAAACTACATAAAGTTCATATTCATGCAAAACTAGACATCACATAAACCAGACATCATATAGCTTGTGGATACAAACAATGTAAAACTCACAGGCAAGGTTAATGTGATAGAGGAGGGCTACAGAATGTCAAAGTTACTGGCAATGTACTATTTTTAAAGCTGATACATGAGGGGCACCTGGGTGGCTCACTCGCTTAAGCATTTGACTCTTGATTTTGACTCAGGTCATGATCTCAGGCTGGTGAGATCAAGCCCTCCATCAGGCTCTCCCTCTCCCTCCGCCCCTCCCCCCCCCAAAAGAAACCCTGATACACGAGTATTTTATATATACACAGACCCTTTACAACAGGGGTTTGAACTGTGCAGGTCTACTTACAGGCGGATTTTTTTTATACAGTCCAGTACTGTAAATGTATTTTCCTTCCTTATGATTTTCTTACTAACAGTTTCTTCTCTCTAGCTGATTTTACTGTAAGGACACAGTATGTAATATACATAACATATAAAATATGTGTTAAATGACTGTTACTGGTAAGGCTTCCACTCAACAGTAGGCTCTTAGTAGTTTAGTTTGTGGGAGTCAGAAGTTACACGTGGATTTTCAGCTGAGCACGGAGCGGGCACCCTGAGCCCCCATGTTGTACAGGGGTCATCTGTATAATATTATAATATATAACATGTATATTCCTTTATACTTCTCCTAGGCACATTTCTTTCCCTAACACTGTGGTAAAACATTCTCTAGTTTTTAAGTGTTTAAAATAATCAGAAATCAATGGAGGAAAAATACTACGATAGGAAATCATAGATTTGGTACCAATTATCTTTGTTAAACCATTAGAATTTTGAAGGTCTCCAAGAAACCATCTAGGTAGAAAAGTCAATAGTTACTC